CTTTTGCTCTGTTATCAAAGCACCTCACCTTCAAACTGGCCGTCCCGGGCCTTGGCAGCCAGCTCCGAAGAGGAGACAGTCTCCTGACACAGCGCGCAGTCCTCCAGCGCCGCACTGCGCCGGCCCTGCCCTGCTGGAGACACACCGCAACATGAAGGTGAGTCACTACACGATGCTCTTCTTTCTGGGTCAGAAACGCTTTCTGTTGGAGCTGCTACATCAGACAGCTCAGGCACAGACGACGTTTGCAACAGTGGATCTCCAGGAGCTAACAAACACAGGGATCTGTGATCTTACAAGAGTCCGTGGCTTCACACACCCAAACATGAGAAGAACAGATGATTTTCCTTGGAGCCTTAGAGATTTAGTGCTCCAAAATTCAGAGGACAGGAAACAGAGGTAATGGTTAAATACAGAATATGTCTTGCCAGATGAAACCACTTTCCCCCCCTTCCCCCTGGAAGAACAAGCACTCTACCTTTCCTCTGCTTATCCCTGTCGTCTGCCTCAGGCTTGGTAGCCATGACTTCAAACAGTGTCTTCAAGATACTGCGGAGGTCGCTGGCGTAGTTCGTCTGCAGCTGATCGGCAACGCCTGGCGTATAAAAAGGTAGATAACTCCATAAGCACAGGGTTAAAAACATGAAAAAAGTACCAATGACAGGGGCACTTTGGCACATCCAATCTGTTTGGTAGTTGGTAGCAAATTGATCTGAGGACTTGAAAGAAAACTGGGTATCGGCTTCAACCAACATGACTGGATAGCCTGTTCCAAACTCCCACAACCTTTTCTGTAAAGAAGTGTCTCATGTTTTTGGTTTTAAATATTTTTTTAATGAAAGGCAAGTGCACATCAGTTACCAGGGAGGGAAAGTGATGGCTGTCAACACACGGCAATAATTTTTTGGCAATAGTAATACTAACCAGTTACCCCATTTTCTGCAACAGGTAGACTTAATGAAGACTCACCATTCAATAATTACAGCAGGGAGAGCAAGTGATATTCTTCCTGAGAATGGTGGATAAAGATGTATTGACCATATCCCAGAAGGATAACTATTGGACATCTGTACACCATTGGAAAAAATATCCCCAATACTAGATCACACTAAAGGTAGCCAATAATCTGCTTAAAAACAACTCTGAGGTGTTAAGTGAAAATAATGAACACACTGAAAAAGATCAGGTGACAATCGGGGTCTTTAGAGACAAATCAACCATTTCTTAAATGTACCGGAAAAATACACTTTTGATGAATTGTGGGTGATTTCATTAAACAACGGCATTTACAGATCCCCTGAAACAAAAAATCTGCAGCCTTTCAGAACAAGAGTGTCCTTCGCAGAATGCAGCCTGCTTAACTGAGCAGTAACAAACAAGCGCTTGCAATCTCTAGAAAGGAGCGATTCAGGATGACCTATAAAAATGAGTGGGTTGGGGCTCTCCAAAACCGAGGCTGGGGACTCCAAATCTAAAACTAGCACCAGCTCAGTTTTAAAATCAAAAGTAGAGACACGTACAATAAATCCATTTTGATTGCAATCTGACTGATTCATATGCACGGTGAGTGTTCGGGATGCATGCAGAGCCCCAGAAATCAAAGGCTTTGCATGAGAGCGTCCTCCACTCTGAGCAGGCAGAGCTTCAACACTCTTTCATCTGTCATTACAGCACTGCTGACCTACTTTCTTCCAGACAATCATTAAGAAAGCCACCGAGAAATCCCCGCTGCAGCTGCCCAGACAAGGCACGCGCGCGGCCGGCTGCCACTCCCACAGCCCAGAGAGAGCTTACAAGCGGGAGCAGGCTCCAACGGGCCATCTAGCCTGTTTGCTAGTTAGTTCACTGATCCGGGGATCCTGAAAGAAGCCAGGGTGTCAACTCCAACAGCACCTGCTGGGCAGCCTCATTCCCTCTATCCTCTGGATGAAGAAGGGCCTCCTGTTCTTGGTTTTAAAATTTGCTGCCAGGTAGTTTCCACTTGTGTCTTCTGGTTTGTGTTTCACTGCTGATTGTAAAGAATTTTACATCATTGACTTGGTCAGTGGCTTTGAGGATCCCCTCACAGTCTTCTACAATCCTGAGTTAATATGACTGCTGCCTAAATCCTGTGTTTAAGTCTAGCTGTGGTCTCAGCTACTTTATTAAACCCTTAATTGAGCTTTAATTAATTTAATTAAAACTGCATGGTTTAATTACAGAAAGAAAGCTAACTGGAAAGCCTAGCTCTGTAAGTAATGAGGACAATTAAGCTCAGAAAAAAAATAAAAGTGTAACCTCAGGACTGAGTTTGGCAACTTGTGGACTAAATCAATCCCATCTATGGTCCTGGAGGAAGACTGTGTCTTCACAGGCTCAATATTTCCAGTGTTTTTATGTGGAAAATATTTATACATTTGGTTTCAGCTCTTAAAAGGTGAAACACACACACGTGCACTACGCCCTGGTCTGGATGCCAGCCCATTGCAGGACACACACAGAGTGACATCGGCTGGGCCAGCCTACATGCCTTTGGAAGGTGGCAGGAAACCAGAGCACACAGAGAAACGCAGGGAGGACATGCAAACTCCACACAGAACGCTCTCCAACTGAGAGTCCAACCCCAGACCCAAGAGCAGTGAGGCCCTGTATCAAGTTAAAAGCATCATGCCGAGCAAGCGCCGGTGATCGGTCCCACACAGCACACCTCACGGCACTGTTCCCAGCGGGCGGCTAATTACTTCATCTAAGTATTAGTTCCAATTTTCTTTAAATACTCTCTCTGGTCCTTCACTCAGAGCTCTGTCTCTAGCTGAGCTACTGTGCGAATGCTGCTTCTGAGCTTCCTTACACCAGTTTTCTTTTTTCCCCTCTACGGTTTTGCGCTTATTTATTTACTGTATGTTCAGTGCTTTCTCTGGCCTTTGCAACTACCGCTCTGCAGCCCTGAGAGCTGGGTTGCTTTTATGTCTGTCTTTTTCTCGTTGGCTGCCCTTTCCCCTCTTGCCGCGGTGTTCGCCACCTCGCTGGCGCCTGAGACCTGCTTGTGAGCTCCCAGTCAGACGCTGCTCTTTTTTCACCTCGCCGCGTCGTGACCAAATCTGGATCTTGCCAAAACTCGATTGCAATGGATGTGCTCAACACAGAAGCCCGATAATGTTCTCAAAGGCAGGCTGTCACGACGTGAAACATGTAGGACACAAACAAGTTACTGAAGTTTAGGGAACAGGCACCGCAGGCCCAAACGTGCAAAACAGAGCCAGGCTGTCAACGTCTGGAGCGCCGATGGGAGAACGCTGTCCGGCAGACATCTTGCACCAGGCCTGCGCAGGCTGTTACTGCCCCGGCTGCCCCCCCCCGGGGCCCCGCCCTACCCGAGATGCAGACGAAGAGGCGGTGGATGAGGTCGCTGCTGCTGTGGAAGCGGGAGCGGATCTTGTCGCGGGAGGCCATCTTGGCGGCCTGCAGGGCCTGCTGGATCTCCTGGTGGTCCAGGTCCTCAGAGGTGCAGGAGCTGGCGGTCAGGCTGCTGACGGGGCTGCTCGACACACAGCACAGGACAGGGTCAGCACCGCAGCACGGCACCCCTCGGCCCGCCGGCCGCCCCTTCCCAACTCGGGGGGCTCGGAAGGGTCCCTCCTCCCCAGGACAGCAGGACAGAAGGGAAGCTCTGTGGTGCAGAAGGCTGGCACAGTTATGGAAGAATGTCTGCTTGAACTTTCAAAGTTAACATTTCAATAACAAAGCTATTCTAGCGCAAACCTAAATATAGCTGTATGCAAAAGACAGGGTCAGATTGCATGTTTCACTGAATCTCTCTGGACCTAGCCAAGAGTAATAGGTTTAATTCACTACAGAGAATACCTTAAACTGCCACAAATACTTCTAAATCACTTTTAAAGCCTTCGGAAAAAGTTGTAATTCATTTCTTTTCTGCTGTGTGATAACATCTTTGTGAATTCTGCACTGTTTCACCTCTCATTTACTGTAATCCAGCATTGATTTCTTCAACCACACATTCAAATGCTCCCTCATCAAACACTAAAAATACTTTGTTCAAGGACTGAGTTCATTTCAGTGTTCTAGCTAAATTGATTTCAGATGATCCTAACAATACACTTGCAACAAAATTCACAATCCATTCAAACACATTTCCTCAACAGACAATGGAGTTAGCTAACTACCTGCACTAAAGCACTGGTAAGTTTCCTTGAAATGCACACAAGACTGATGCAGATGACTAAATACTCCGTCTCCCTTGCACTGAGGAATTGTGCTGCACTGGACTCCCACTGCACGGGCATTGCAGGATATCAGCCCTCAGCTGTAGCCAACAGTGTAGGACAAACACTAAACAACACAACAAAGGGAGGAACCCCGAATGTGAAGAAAACAGAGAAAGTGACAGAAGAACTACAATAGTGAACCCCTCTGCCATTCTCAGATTTCCTTCAAACAGGAGCTTTAAGACAATCAAGGAATAAGCCAGAAAAAATTATCAACTTTTAATGACGACTGGTAATATTAAAAACATGCAAATCAACAAACATTTTAAGGAACTGTGTGCAGTGCATTATTTAAATTTGGATGGCGTCTTTTCCCAGCCATTTTCAAAAAATAGGTATCAAATCTGCTGAACTGCAGCTGAACGTGCTGTAGGTGGTGGAGACAATGCAGTATAGGTCCCTGTTACGCGATCTCAGCAACACTGACTCTGAGTGATGTACCAATCAGAATCAGCAACAGGGATGCTGCACTGCAACAGGACTGAAAGAAATATCTGCTGATCCTGTTGCCATGTGACCATGGCCATGCATTTTTGCTGAGCTCCATACAACAACCTGAGTTGTTATGCCTTCGACAGTAAGCACGATGAGGAGATTGTGTCTCACTGCTTCAATGCATCGACAATGGATGCAGTCTCTAATGACAGGGAGTAGGATTCAGGAACAAACAGAACAAAGCATGGTGCAGAGTATGAGGCACAATCATTTTTGTTTTATCGCTCCGGTTTAGAAGGAAGCAATAATTTTTCAGTTTCATAAGTCCTTTCCCAAACTCTGTACTCATCTTATGGTTGCTTCACCAAAGCCCTAGGTCCTGTGCAGTCCTGCAGTGCTTGACCAGTGATGGAGGCCGTACAGGCTATCCTGGGAGGCTTCAGCTGTTCACTAGTGATGTGACTGTGAGACAAACCACCCTGAAAGGCTTTCATGGGCCTGCTGAAATTCCTGTTAACATCCAGCTGTGAGCAAGGGAAATAGCACTGGCTTGCAACCTGTGGATTCTCTCTATTCGTAACGGGGCTCCGTGCACTGAGAAACCTACAGAAGTCACTCTTCTTTTAAAAATCGAGACAGCACAAAATTCTGCTATGGCAGAGAACCGTGAGGAGGGCTTGTCAGCTGTCCAGGGAGTGCTGTTGTGTGTGCTTGGCGCTCAAAGCCCGTGGGCGACCGGGGTTGAACACTGGCAGGGGCAGAGCATGGCTGCACTCAAAATTTTGCTTTGAATAACGTTTGGAAGAAAAACATTTTAATTAAATTAAGCAAATTTTAATGAACAGCACCATTATCTAAGAACTTTTAAAGGTGCTCTTCCCTGCAGAGATCTAATATTTTGTTTATTGCTTAATATATTTTAACATCAAACAGCAACCCAGAAAAAAAATTCCACTTGCATGAATAGTATGCATCTCATACCATTCACAATGCAGCTCTCACTCTCTCATTATAGAAATCTGTTCAATGAACAATAGGAAAATAAAGGCTTTCTACAAATCCTACTTGTATATATACGGGAAACACACACAGATTAGTCATAAAGGATGCTGAACAACACTGACACCAACCCCTAAGTATTATAAAAAATAATAATAATAATAATAACAACAACAAAAACAACAACAATAATAATTTTATTGGATTAAAAAAGATGTATTCACAAGCCTGCTTGTCTACAATGTCACAGGGCCACTTCACGTCACGGGAACTTTTGTTTCCTCATTCTGAATCGCAGAACACGATGCTGTGCATATCTGTAAATTGTGTCTATTTTGTGGTGTAAATTGGAGGCTTTCCAAGTTACTGTGTACATTTTTCTTTTACTGTGGTTTGCAAAACCCTCATCAATGCTGATTCTTTCTAACCCTGAAATATGAAAATAGAGTTGAAGTTTCCCTTATGCCATATACCATAAGCCATATCCTTCAGCTAATACAATAATAAAAAGCACAGAAAAGACAGTAAAACAAAGTTAAATGTGTGCTCGATTTTGAATGTGCTTTTTGTGTGCTCGATGTCAGAGGAGAGACCGAGAGGGGTTACTTGACGAAACTGCACTGACTGGAAAGAAATGCTGCTCCGAAGCACCGAACTCATTCCTAACCACTGTGACGGCTGATGCTCAGGTCACTATGAACAAGAAGTGTGAACCTGCTGCTCCCAGCAGCTCCAGTAGTTCAGGGAATAAATGGCTTTTCCACATTTTCCGTCTGCACTGATTCGATGCGCCTGAAGGTTTCACCCGTCCAGGGACTCCTTTGTGCTCTGGATGTAAAGCTCCCTGCTTTTGCGAGACTCAGGAGAAAGAGGCCTGTGCAGGGAGCTGCTATCAGGTTGCTGGACCACTAGACTCAAGAACAGCTTCTATCCCACTGCAGCGCGCATCCTCAACAGCTAACTGCAGGGCCTTAATAAACATCTGCACTCTGCACCTTTTATATAGTCTACCCCTTTTTTTTTGGTCTCACTACTACATATTTATTTTTCCACAACATATTTATTGTTCCTGTCGTCTACATTGTGTGGTGTTGTCTGCTGTACTGTGTGTGTCCAGAGAGATCAGTGTGATTAAGAATTCCGATGTACGTGTACATAACGCAATAAACTAAACTACTACTGCTGATCCTGACGGCAGTCTTGTCGAGAGTGAACTGAGAGACGGCACTGAAAGATGCCTGATTTGTCTGCCCCACTAACAGCTCCATTAGAACCCGAGGTAACCTGGTAAAGACAAAAATTCAGTCTGACTGACTACATCACCACTTCAAACCCCGGCCACAACCTTTCCACTCTGAGCCTCTGCTTTGCTTTGCAGGTGCATTATCACTATTGCAAGCAATTCAAAACTGTAAATGTCTGGCAAGTGCCATTTGATGTAGAGAAGGGCAGAGTGCAGACAGCAAAAAAACAAACAAATAAATCTATGAATGTGAGCTTACAAGAAAGACACTTTCATTTTCTAGAGCTCTTGTACTCAGTCCTGGTGCCAGAATGCCCTGTGTCTGCACTACTGCTATTTAGTGCCTGTAACTTGCCTGTGACCCTTTAGGACTCTGTATGTTCTATCCTCAACTTGGTTATTAAGAATTTGCTCCTTGATTTCTAACAAAACAGTCTTCATATATTCCCTTCTGCTTAAGTCCAGTTGCTTGCATTTCAGGCAGTCCTGAACCACCAATTAGCAAACAGTTAATCCCAATTGCAAATCTCATTCATCTTTTTAGGAGCTGAAAGCACATTAAAAAGTTACATTGAACAGAAAAATCTGAAATAAATCAGCCTCTGACTATGAGCTTGGCTGGAACGAGAAACAGAAATCAGAGGGGTCACGCAGGACCAGGACTGAGCTCTGCTGGAGTATTCCTGATCCCGGGGCCTGAGTGCAGAAAGAAGACTAAACAAGCAAGCAGGTGGATTAGAGGCAGCGATGAGCACTGGCGATGTGTTGGAAACCAGTAGACACGGGGATACTCCAGACCCCTGGCTTCAGATGGCTTCTTCCACTGCTCACAGGGCTCTCAGGTCACATGGTGACTCTTTAGTTATTAATAGCTAAATAGTAATTAAATAGCTCAATGCATTAATTATATATAATAAATCACTAAGTAACAATAGCTAAGTTCTATCAGATGGCAATGCCATCCACAACATTTATAAAAGCTTCAGCACAAAGTGTGTAGTTAAATACGACCCAGGGTCAGTGATTTGGGAGAAGATATTACATAAACAAATAGACTCGATTTCAGCACAGCGGCTGAGCACGTTGGCACAAAAGATATATCTGAAATGTAAAAGATTATTTAAAAACACATGGACATAAGCTAAAAAAAAAAAGAACATACAATTGATCTCAAGGCCTATTCCTGTCAAGGGTCCAAGCAGCAGGGGCAGTAGATTGTACTAGAAGAACTGGTGTACGGCCAAGAGCTTTTAGCAAAGATGGTCTGTTTGTAAACAGGAGAGGATCTGCTTCACCTCAATCTTAATGCCCCAGAACAAGAGGATTAGCAAACACTGTATAAAACTGGGGTGGCACAGTGGCGCAGTGGCTCGAATTACTGCCTTGCAGTGCTGGGGCCCTGGAATCGATTCTGGAGCTGGGGTGCTGTCTGTGTGGAGTTTGTATGTTCTCCCTGTGTTTGCATGGCTTATAGGAGGACAACTGGTCAGGTGACTGTTTAATGAGCAGGAAGCAGAAGCTCCCTGTTTCAGTCAGTGGATGTCTGAAGGGCAGAGTCTCTCTGTGTCCCCTTCA